GTTCCCACCCACCCCATGGTCACCCGCGCCAAGGCCGATGTCTTCTGTCCTAAACAAATTCTCAACCTTAACATCGTTGCCCCAATATCCCCCATACCCCTTACCTACCATAGTGCTCTAAAGGATCCTAACTAGTTTAATGCTATGCATGATGAATATAATGCCTTGATTGCTAATAATACATGGGATTTAGTATCTCCTTTTTAGACACAAACTCGGCCCAACAGGTGAATTATCCAAATACAAAGCTTGATGCGTTGTTCGCTGGTTTAACCAGCGCTACGGCATAGACTACGATGAGACATTCAGCCCATTGGTCAAACTGGCAATCAAACGCATTGTCCTGAGCCTTGTCGTGTCCCAAGGTTGGCCAATCCATCAGTTCAACGTCAAGAATGCTTTTTTGCAGGGACATCCCACAGATATAGTCTACACTGCACAGCCTTCGGGATTCCAAGATCCTGCTCGACCACACTATGTTTGCAGATTGAACAAGGTATTATATGGACTCAAACAAGCACCGAGGTCTTGGTATCAACGGTTCACAGGCTTTGTCCTCTCTCTTGATTTTCATGGGTGTAAAAGTGACACCTCCCTATTTGTCTATAGCCACGGCCAGGACATGGCTTTCCTATTACTTTATGTTGCTGATATTGTCCTCACGGTCTTATCTCATGCTCTCCTTCAGAGAAAATTACAGGGCACCGAAAAGGGGAGTTTGCTATGACAAACATGGGCGATTTTCACTTCTTTCTCGGGATTAATGTTCAGCGCACCACTCAGACTCAGTTCCTTTACGACATCCTCGAACGGGCAGGTATGACCTCTTGCAAACCAGTCTCCACCCTCGTGGACACTCGCGACAAGCTCTCGGCCACTATCGGCCCCCTTGCGCCGGATTCGTCTCTGTACAACTCCATCGTGGGGGTGCTGCAATATCTCACCTTCACCTGTCCGGACATCACTTATGCATTCAGCAACTGTCTATTTCTTCATGATCCACGGGTGTCGCATGTCATTGCCATGAAGCGTGTCCAACGCTACCTACACGGCACACCGACCCATGGCATCACCATCACACCCTCTCAGACCGATCACATGCGGGCCTACTCGGATGCTGATTGGGCTGGGTGTTCGGATACACGCCGATCGACATTAGGCTACTTCATCTTCCTTGGTGACAATCTTATCTCCTGGTCTTCCAAACGGCAACTCACCACCTCCAGATCCAGTGCTGAGGCAGAGTACCGAGCTGTTGCCAATGTTGTGGCTGAAGTAAGTTGGGTGCGCAATTTACTTCTTGAGCTCAAGCACCCACTGATAACATTAGTGCTGTCAGTAAACCCTGTCAAGCACCAGCGTACAAAGTACATTAAGGTCGACATCCACTTCGTCCGCGACAGAGTAGCCCTTGGTCAGATAAGAGTTCTTCATGTACCTTCCTCGCTACAGTATGCAGACATCTTTGCCAAGAGACTACCCTCCATGGTGTTTTCAGAATTTTGGGATTGCTTAGGCATTCGACGTTCGTTTTTACAGCCGTTGGGAGCATGTTAAATATATTCTTACTATATTTATTATTTGTATCTTGGTAGCTACTATAATTGTATAGGATGTATTATATATTGTTTCCTATTATAACTCTTTTAAATAAACCCATGTAATCCTTCATTGTTAATTATTGGAATTTACATATTCTACACATATGCTCTCGGTCTTAATGTCCACAAGTTGTCAACATTTTTTTTTGAGTAAATTCCCAAAATAGTCCTTTGTAATAAGAGGTTTTCCCAAATTAGTCCTCAATAAGTTTTAATTACCTACGTGGTCCTCTATAATTGAGGTTTATTCCCAAAATAGTCCTTTATAATAAGGTGTTTTCCCAAATCAGTCCTCAATAAGTGTTAATTACCTACGTGGTCCTCTATAATTGAGATTTTAAAATTTATTGAGGACTGATTTGGAAAAACACCTTACTTATTACAAAGGACCATTGAGAATTTACTCATCAATAAATTATGAATTATTTAAAACTTAAAAAAAAAAATTAAATTTCAAATCAGATACACATCTTTAATTAGAAAAACCATTTTGGGAAAAATACTTCATTATAAATGATTATTTTAAGAATTAATTCTAAATTTAGCGAATAAAAAATACTCTCAATTAATCCTCATTTGAGTAACATTATTTACGAAGGACCATCTTGGGAATAAATCTCAATTATAGAAGACCACATAGGTAATTAAAACTTATTGAGGACTCATTTGGGAAAACACCTTATTACAAAGGACTATATTGGGAACAAATCTTAATTATAAAGGACCATGTAGGTAATTAAAATTTATTGAGGACTAATTTGGGAAAACCCCTTATTACAAAGGACTAGTTTGGGAATTTACTCTTTTTTTTATCTAGTTATGTTATTTGAACAAAACAAATGACCTCCCCTCACCTATGCCCAATCTATGAAGTTTCTTTTTTATATTGCTCATTCTTTATTTGTTTCTTGTTAATGCCGATCCCATGTATTATGTTGTTTGCATTGTCATCCTTATGTAAAAAGTTTGTCCCCTGACACCATATAATGGATATGTATATTTGTTCACAGGGAGAAGTGCGTGTTGTGGGCTTTATTTGGAGATTTTTGAGTGCAACATACAAGGAAAAACACAAGATCTCAAAATGGGTAGAACCAACATAATAGAACTCGGTAAATAAAATATTTACAAATACTCAATACAATATCAACTTTATATCACCCGAAATATTCTATTCCCTTTGAAGTAACATGAAGTTTATTGTTTTACCTTTGCGCTTAAAATTTAAGGATTCTGAACCACTATTTTGCTTTAAAAATCCTCTTATATAATTATAGTTTGGCTAACATAATTAAGTTTTTTTAAGTTTTGGGAGACATTTTTGGGTAAACTGTAGTTTGAACTACGATTTGCATTAGAAGTACTATTCTTGACTAACATATTTATTTTTTGTAGTATAGTGTAAACTTTATTTTGAGAGTATAATTTCTTGTGGATTATTTCATTAAAGTAGGAAAATTGTTACATTTTTATGTTTTATACTTCTTTTTTGGGAATTTCCTTTACAAATATATTTTTATGAAACAATTTTCAATGTTTGACTTTTCATTTACAAAACAAAATTTATAGTCATTGTTTTTTAACAAATGCACTCAAATGAAATAATTGTTGAAAAGGTGGCTTTCCAAAGTACATCTTAATATAAAAGCTGCTTTTCAAGTCAAAAACATTATGCAGAAGAATATTTCTACAATTATGAGTCTTTTTTCCAACTCTATTAACATGTTTCTCTAGATCTAGGGAAGCCTCCCAGGTAGTTCTCCCTGTATATTATTCACGGTCAAACATTATTTATTCTTTCCCTAATTTTGTTGCTCATTTGATAAAATAATAAAGTCTTGTCACCTTTTGTTTCGTAGGGCTTTTGATATAGTTTTTTAATATGTAAATATTATTTTTTAATATTGCTCTAATTTTTAAATAAATAGTATTCAAAAACAAATTCTTTCAAATATCATAAACCAAAACAAGTGATTTAAATTGGGACAAGGGAGTAGCTTTTAACTAGGCTGAAATTTAGGTAAATTTTGTTCTTCTGTATAAAACAAAAAAAATGAAAAAAAAAATCAATTTATGCACTTTGGTTTAGTGTCACATTGGTTCTTTTCTCGGTGCATTTTTTTGCCTTCCTATGTGGTTAGTTTTATTGACGATTATTCTTTTCTCTAGTCCATTTTCACGGCATATGCTATGCCCGCACACAACCTAATGGCTAACAGCGTTCCTGCGCACAACTTAATGCTCCTATTGGTTCATGACTTTTTTTAAAATTTTCAAAATACAATTACTTTTTTTAAAAATCGCAAATGATGGACTTGGGCCCAATTCAACCCCAAAAGTTAATTCAAGTGATTGAGGTACCCAAGCCATTATAAACAAGATAATGTTGGCCTACATAGCCGATGTGGGATGAGTATAACTCAACATGCTCTTATATTTTGGAACAGAACATCAAATGCCATGTACACTTAGGGACCAAATAGAGACATCTGTTTCAAAACACTTGATTTTTGTACATGTAGATAATGTAGAAAGAACATGATTGGCTTGGCTTGTAATGTTACACCTACAAAATTTATTTTTCAGATGTTCTCTGTTTTATTGTTCATAACTTGTTAACCTTTTTCTCTAGTTCTGTTATTTGAAGAAATAACCCCCTTGCGCCTCCATGGTGCTCAATCATAATTTTGATGAAGTTTCTTTTGTATATTGCTCATTCTTTATTTGTTTCTTGTGAATTCCGATCCCTTATATTTCTTCTATCATTTCCATTCTTGTCCTTATGCGAAAAGTTTCTGTCCTCTAACAGCATGAAATGGATATGTTTATATGTTCACAGGGAATGCATGTAGTGAGAGCTTTATTTGGAGATTTTTGAGTCCAGGTCAAAAAATAGGCAAGATCTCAAAATGGGCAGCTTTCCTTTCCTTTTCTTCCTATTTTAGTTCTCTTGAGCCTAGATTCTGTATCTCCAAAAAAAAAGATAACAAGTTAAGAAATGTGCTTTTCCTCAAGGATATTAGACAAGCATATCAAACTTCGGAATTCCTTCATTCATTCTACTGGTAATATTTGAGTTATCTCTTATTAAACAAGAAGGAAGAGTGAATTAAGTTGTGCAATACAGTTTCAGTTTCAATGTTCAATGTTACATGGGTACTTATAAAACAACTCATACGTACCCTTGTATTGAAGTTCAATTGGTCGCTTGATATAGCTTCTCCAATCTCTGGAGATCGGCATTCCTTGGCTTAAGTCCTGCAATGCAACAGTTAAAACATTTACTTATATATCAAATAGCTTAATATAGGATAGATTTAAATGTCCTTTGTCTTTCGAAAGAACTTTCTGTTTTGCATCTCACAAGACACATTTAAACACATCAAATTGGTAAGTTATTGTCTTAGTCGTTAATGTGTTGCTTTGATCATAAATTATTATTTTCATAGGTAATAAAGTACTTGATGTGGTTTTGAGCTTTTGATGAAAATACCAAGTCGGTGCTCAATAAAGCTCCAACCATTTAGTGACCGGGTGAGTGAGATTAGGAGAGCACAACATAGTACCACAAGCACAAAACAAAGCATTATATTAAGTTTTGAGCTTCACCCTTGCAAATGGGGAGAAAGAGTTTCATTATGTTACACTCATTTGAAACGAATTCGACCTAATGTTTCCCTACCAAAACCCGAGTGTGACCCAATAATATATCAAAGTATCAAACCCAGCCCGATTAAATTAAGCTTCAATTTGAACTATAAATCAAGTTGGGATTGAAGGACATAGTAAACCTGAACTGAACCGGACATGTTTACATCCCTACAAGAGGGTTGATCATTAAGAACCTGACCTGACCTAACCTATAGAACAAAAGCTTCCACTATGACTTGATAACGGCATACTATGGAGTGTGGCCTCTAAAATGGTTAGCTTGAGCCTTTGAATCAGGTTTACCCAATCCGGCCTTTATAAGTTGGGCCAGAATAGTCCCAAGACACTACCTACAGAGATGAAATCCATTTGAATCTGCACTCAACTTTTGGATAAAGGGTTGGTAAGAGTTCATGGTGATGAAGTTGTAGGCATGTTCTATCTATCAAGAGCATCTCCAATGGATCAGCCATGCTGGAAAAGAAGGTTTATAGCTACCACTGTATATATGGTTTTAGACCATCCATTTATAGACGTTACTGCAGGTTGGCTAAAAAATAATTTGGAATGAAAGTGAGTGCATGGCTGTCTTGGGAGCAGCAAAACACAGATGAAGAGGGTCTGGAGCTGTAGCTTTTGTGGCAGAGATCGCCGGAGCTATTGTAAACTCTTAAATAGAGAAGGAAGATAAAGTGATATAAAAGAAGGGAGAGAGACTTAGATAAAGAGCCATCGTCGGAGCTACTTCGCCCGAGTTTTTGATTCCAGCCGGTGTTTTTTACCTATAGATAAAGAAGGGAGGGATAGATAATAGCTGAAATCAAATAAAGGTGTGGCTGGAGCTCATGTAAAAAAAATAAGCCTCCGTACCACTGTAGATAGTCTAAAAGAAGGAAGAATTTCAATATTTATGTATATATGATGACGAAAAGCATTGCCATGACTTTAATGACACTCCCAAAACTAAACAGCCCTTGATACTTTTCATGTATCTAACCTATCTCCAAAGCCACTTCATTATCCACAATCCATTCGACAAAAACTGACCCAACAAGAAATGAAAAAAACAAAAAATTCTCTTAAATTCTATGTGAAATGGAGCTTGAGGAAGCTAATGGAGAAGATCATGATAGTGAAGTGGATTGTATATATGCTCTATTAAGTAAGGATAGCCCTTTTAGAAGCAAGGTAAAAGACTAGGAAAGGCAAGCATGGGTCAATGAATTAGCACTCTTACACCAAGCAACTACAGAGCAAGAATCAATCAGATCCAAGTAGTTATTCCGGTAACAGTGATAACAATCCCCAGCTCTATGGTATACTTCCAAGTATGAGAAAAGTGATGCTGATGTGAATAGCGAAGAAGAGGACATTTATGGTAAACAGAAGAGAGCAAGGGCAAATACTCATGATAAACACATAAACTACTTCACCTTACAATGGGAACCTAAACTAACATTTCCAACACAAACACATCTTTGTTTAAACTAAGTATAAGGTGCTTAACACTAACTGTTAGAAAATCAAGAAGCATGCACATGCCATGGTACATGGAACAATGGACCATTATGGAAAGTTTATTTTGCACAGTTGACATAAACTTACCCTTCAAGTACATTTGAGATCTTAAAAGACCCTGATATCCCTAGAAATCCACCAGTATTTCAGAGGTTCTTTTGGTTGCTTTAATGGTCTGGTTTTTCCTAAAGATCAAGCCTGACTTTTATGTTGATAGTGGTTTGAGAGGGAAATGTACCTTGATTCTTATTTGAAAGGTGTAAGTCCATGTTCAAGTGATAAATACTGGCCAGTGGTTGATATGCATAAAGAACTGGCTACCTCTTATAAGGATAGGTCAAAGAAGACCTAAGATAATAAATAGAATCAAGGACGCCCACGAGAAGTCTAATCAGAAGGGAAAGAAACGAGTCATGACTAAAAAATTACATGTAGCAAGCATAGGTAAGACTAACACACCCAACAAGAGAAGGTGTCCACTCAAGGGAACAGAAGACACAAGTCAACCAGAGCACTTCAGGTTCGACACAAATGCAACCTAATACAGGGCAATTAAAGAAATGAGGAAAAGAGGTAGAGCAATTAGCACATCATTCAAGACCAAATCTTCCCACCTACAGAGGTGGTAGAGGAGAATCAGGAGGAGCTGGAAATGGTTTTGGGATTTGTTTTTTATTTATTTATTTATTTATCATATTCATAGTGGTTGAATGAAAACATTTTGAATGTAATCTTGGCTTATAAGATTTGGATTAATGCAAGGACATTTGTGGATTGAAATGTTAATATTCATTACTTTAGCACATAACTAGCTATTACACTATCACTCCCATCTTATTTCTCTAAAACCATATTAAACATCAAATAAAGAAATGAGGAAAAGTGGTAGAGAATATCTTTCATGACTATCATTTTGAATTTTGAATTGAAAATACACTTATTACTTAATCAGTGAATTCAAGGAATTAAAGACTAAACAGAACTATGCTTATAGAATTGTTTTTTTTTATACATAAATGTATGTCTGATCATTTTTTCCTTCAAAATGCTAGTGAAGTAATTTTGTAAATTGCATTTGAAATCACACACGTTTTCCATGGTCTATATATAAAACTTGGAAATTAACGTGACCATAAACAAATTTAACCACAGGAAATGAATTGTGGGTTACCCCTGGTAGAGCTTTTTTGGTTGGTGGCATGGTCAGGGTACAATGATTCTGCAAAAAACAACAAAAGACAAGCACATTAGAATGGTACTCAGCCTAAACAAGCACAAAAAAACAGCACTACTGTACTCTACATTATACATGTAGTAGAAAACTATGCTCTACAAGCTATGTTGCATCAACTGAAATGAGAATTGTACCCTGCAACTCTGCAAGACTGAAAATAAGTGTTTGTGTTTTATACCTTTCATCAAGCCATACAAATAAACTATAAAGTAAAAAACATGTAGCTTACCATTAGCAATGTGTTTTCTCTACAAAACTGAAAAGTACAGAAACAATGATTATTTAAACTCTATGTGGCCGTGTTGATTATTTAAGCCATGGAAATAAACTGGGCTAGCTTTTCATCAGATGTAAATATAGACAACGAGAACTAGAGCGTTTACTTTTTCCGAAAGATGCATCAAAAGCGAGGTGGATTTGATAGAGCGTTTACTTCTTCCAAAAGCACCAAGTTAGTCAATTAGAAAATCAAAATGTAGAAGTGCAATTGAGCAAGCGATTGGATGTATAACATGAAACCAGAACTAGATTTTATAGAATCTGTTTTAAAAACATGACAAATGGCTGTGAAAGAGAGAAGACAATGTTGCTCTTTCATCGGAACTTTAAAAACTCCAAAATTTTCCCGCGATTCATTCAATTGCATTCTTATGAATGTCTATTATTATATTCTAAATGGTCTATGACAGCCCTATAAAAATATAGATCATAGCAGAAAGTGGAAATGCGGCTGAGATAACTGAAAGGAAAGCTTGTGTCGGGATAACAACAGGCACAATCGCAATGCAAAAATTTATTGTTTCATAGAAGAAGAAGAAGAAGAAGAAGAAGAATCTCTGCATTATACAATCGACTAGATTCTCAGTAGTAGAAACTTCATAAAATCGATTTAGAAAAACCCTATTTTACCGGTCCGATAGTCTTTGGAGGAGCAACGACTGAGCTTTCTGAGCGGCGCGCGGGCTGTGTTCTGGTGGCGAAGAGCAGCGATCTCCTAGCCTTCAAGCTTCGTTCTGCAGTAATAAGTCGCAAGAGCGGTGTTCCTCTGCTCACAAGCTCGTCTCCCACGTCAAGCTTTTTCTCGTTCAATGCTCATTCTGAATTGACAGGAACTTGGATGCATGAAAAATGATTTCGTTTGGAATTAAGAAATAGAGTGCGAGCTTGTTTCCAAAATAAACAAATAAATAAAATAGTATAAGTGCTCTAGTCTCGGCTTGANCCCCCCCGCCCGTTTGTCAATGTCAAAACATACATAAAATATATATTTCGGCATTAGCATAGCACTAATAATAAAGTAATTAAAGACGTATTCTAATATCCCGCACGACGAGAAAGTCTTCATTGGGGGCGGGCGACTTCAATGACGATATTGGTGACTAGCTCTGCAAAGGGTTTTGAGGAGGTGCGTGGAGGGTTCGACTTTGTTGGTAGGAATTTGAAGGTAGTCTCACGGGTGGAATTTGCTAGAGCGAGTAATTTGGTGGTCGCTAATTCCTCTTTTCCTAGGCGAGAGAAGATCAATTG